CATACTAGATAATACACGGACAAACGGTCAGTTATCACGTCAAGGTTTCAAAAGAAAATATATTCTTTTTTTAAATAATATGGAAAATAAAAATTTAACCCTCATTAGTTCTGTACCAATCTAATTCAAACATAATAATACTTTGTTTAACAGGTGAGGAATCAAATTCATAGGTAATTCATCATATATTCCGTTTTATATTATATAAGGTAAACAATTAATTGTTAAAACTAATTTAATAGATTTCTGAATTGCCAAAAATAGTACTATGATTTTATTTATAAATAAAATTAGCTGTTGCATATTTGAGTTGCTGAAAAACCGACTAACTCAATTAAAAAAGCATTCATTATATCAGATTTTTGATAATATGACCCTATTTTTTTCTTTTTTTAATTTTCAGTAGATTATTTATTTCGATTTAAAAATTAATTAATCCAAATTGTCAATTATAAAATATCATGTTTTATTATAAAATTTTCTTCATTTATCACGTCGAGCTAGGAAGCAGTTGGCAAGTTTTTATTTATTAATTTTTTTCTTATTAAAAATTGAAATCGGGCTTTTTATTTATAAAAATTGAAAATTGTTGTTACGAAAGTAGAAATCACGTAGTGTAGATAAGTCAAAAATTTATAAACTTTCAAATATCTACAGCACAATAGGGAACAATACTTTTAGACATATTGACAAAAATAGATTATATTCAACTACAGTTATTAAGAAAAGTAATTGAAGTAAAAATAGTGACATTTCGTTGATTTTTTTCAAGGTTTTTTATTGTTTTCTCCAAAATGTAAAGGTCGCAATGAGGTCTTCTAATTCCATCTTTCGTGTTCTTTCAACCCTTTTATCCAATCTTTCTCAATCGTCGAGACCCATGCCTTCGAGATTGTAATCGGGGAATGAGAATAGGTTAATAATCTCCAAACAGCCTATGCTCATGACATCGAAAGGGAAATTTTCCGTCATTTAAATCCAAACAATGCTAGAGTAATTTCACAACATTGAAGGATGACTCTTAGTACAGAATACCTAATGAAAGCTATTGTGCTTGCATAATGGCTCACTCCACCCCTCTCCTGATTGGTAGGCCACCCTTTTTTTCTTTCTAACCTTAAGCACGCAATATTTTGGAGGTCACTTTGGGGATGGACAATATCAACAATGACATAAAGTACACCCAAAAATGACATAAAGTACATTATTTTTTTGCAATGCACTTTTAAAAATTTACTAAGGCCCACTAACATTAGTACGTCGAGAATAAAGCTATACTTATATTTATAATTCATTCTATAATAAGATTATCAAATTCTCAATGAAGAAAAATCGAACTTATTTATGAATTATCTGATAAAATTATCTACACAAATCTTAAATGTTAATTAGATTTCTCAAGTATACAAACCAACTGTGATTTATAATGTTAAGTTTTCTGCCAGTTAATGCATGACAGGTGATATTTTATTACTTGATTTTATACTCTATTTTGAAGCTATTGTATGATTGGTATTTTTCTAAGATTTTTTTTATTTTTAAATTTACTTTTAAAAATTCCTCACAAACCAATAGCTATATTCATAATTCATTTTAAAACGCTTATATCCCTCAAAAATGCTAGAGGTTTTGCTTGAATAATCTTATTCTCTGGGGGGAAAATGAAGGCATCTAATTGGTTTAAGAATTATCGGATTAAATCATCTGTACACTATCCAGGAGTGTGATTACTTAAAACGTTTGTTAGATAATTGTAATTTATCAAGTTTAATTTTGACCCAATTAAGGCATGAAAAATATTGCATTGCACAAGTATCTAATCTATTTTGAGGTCTACACGGTTGCTTTGTCTTTAAAAGAAAAAAAAAAAAAATTATAAAAGTCAGAATTAGTAATTTGTTCCATTTTATACTATATCTCTGCTTAAATATCGTTTACAAAAATTGTAAGCATACTATAAATAGTTTAAGAGTAGTAGTAATCAATAAAGAAGTTTGAATTGCTTTTTCTCCCGCCAATGATATTACCGTTGTCGAGGTTGTTTTGTTCTATAAAATAAAAATTTGCACCGATTTCTTATAAAATTTTATAACTTGCAAAATAATAAATAAATAAAAATTGGATCGTTTTGTACGCAACAAATTTCTTATCTTTTCAATTCTTTTCATAGTTTTAACCTATTTACCACAGTCTACAATGAAACAATAGAAGTGTACTTAATAAAGCTAAAAATTTGTGAAGAGTATTTTCCAATTGCCCAATTTTTCCAGAAGAAATTTGTTATTGTTAAGAGCGTCCGGTTACCCAATCAAGAGCACTTGATGATATTTTTAAACACTCAAAAGCATTGATATTTTTTTATTTTTTCCATTCAGCACTAAACATTGCAACTGATAACAGTCAGGATAGACAATGGTATCATTGTCAGTCAGAAGTACCACCTGTATGATATGTCAGTGCTTTTTATCTTTTGAACAGATTAAACACTGTTGATGAGCACAGAAGCACACTCATAGCATTTTACTGATTATGAACGAAATATCATGATTATTAATTGTTAAGAGCACTCTAGAATAAAGAAATCAATATCTCATTATTTGTTTTTCTTCTTAATTTACAAAAAAATTTTAATCCTGATGTTCTTACGAGTTAAATTATGAATTTCTTTACTATTATTTTTAATGTAAAGTTTAATTTAGTGCTTTTATTATTGATATTTTTTATCAGTATTATATTTAATAAACTTAGTTCATTATGATGTACGCATTAATTGAATTATGCATATTTTATCTCAGTTTGACATATGTTTCATTTGTTTGAATTAAGTTCCTATTTTTGTGAAAGCTTTGTTTGGATACGTTTAAATAATCATCATCTTTTCCCCTTCGTAAATAATAATAGTAATCCCTAAATAGGGAGGATCTGGTTAATTAAATGTTTGATGGTTTTTAATATTTATTTCTAGTTTTATATCTTGTACTTACCATAGTAAGTTATTTATTTTAAGTAATACAATTCAATTGAATAAACGCCTTACTTGTTCAAATAAATGGAGACAAGTCGATGAGGCATTAAAAAAAAAATCGTTCTTCATTCTAAGAACATCTTCATTAGCAAATATTGCCTTTTTCTTATTTTTTATTTAAAAAAATCCCCTAACCCATTTTTTCTTCTTCTTTTTTCTTTCTTCTTTCCTTTAGATCTGCCTTAGCTTTTACTTCTAAGCAACTATATAAGTTTTATAGTATCAGATTTGTGACAAAATAATTGCCAACATTTTAGTTGTATACTTAATTGTAATTTTGTGATCAGCTATCTATAATTTTGCTTTGAACTGGAATTGTTAAAGAGCGAATTGTATTATTTGTCAGTCAGTAGCTATCTATAGAATCAGCTATTCTCAGTCCAATTACCATTATTATTACTTCTAGTTTCGAAATAAAAATAAGCTCTGCAATATTCCCCTCTTCTTTTTTTTTTGTCAGTATTACCATTGTGAATTTTCATAATGTTATCGGCACAATTATTCTATATTTTTCCAGCCTTGTGATTGATAACGTCTTGAAGAAAATGAAGTTGAAACAATCCACCTTATCAGCTGATAATGGTGTGATTGTTTCAACTTCTTGGTAACTAAATAATGAACGGTGAAAATCCGGTTTCTTTTTTGAAAGAGATTTAAGAATATATATTTTCTCTTCCATTGAAAGATATAGATAATTTTCATTGGCGTATGTATTTAAAGATATAAGGTAATAGTATTTGTGGTTTGGTAAAAACAAAGTTCTGCTTTCTTTTCTAAAATAATTAATTGACTCTCTAGAACTTTGAAAACCGGTTCTCTATTTTTTTTAGTTTATTTATGTTCCAAAATAATAAAGTATTAATTTAGGTAATAGAGCTGAATAATATAGTTTAGGATTCATTTTTTTAAAAATTAAGATTTATAATTAATGCAAAGAAAATTGTTTTATTGAATAAAAATGTTACATGAATTCACATCGCAACACTTTGCTTTTTATTACTTACAGTAAAGATTCAGAGTCATACAATGCCAAAAATAATAATAATAATAATAATAAATAAATAAATATTGAGAACTTGAGTAGAATGTATATAATAACTATAATAACTCATAATCATAGTCAGCTAAGTGATCATATAAATAGAGATAGATAAGATATAGATAAGATATAGTGAGTCANTTATCAAAAAACATTTAATAATCCAATGTAATTCTGATATTTAGTAATATTATGAGATGGAAGTTGTTATATCCATTAAAGTTTCTATACAAAATAAAAATATCTTGGTGTCAATATATTTTCCTTTTTTTTGTTATTTTAGGATATATAACATATTTTTCAAACTTTAATGAGCTTAGAACATACTAGTTGAGATTTTTTAGGTCATCAAAATCCGGGCTCTACTTATTATAGTAAAGATTCAGAGTCATACTATGCCAAAAGAAGAAAAAAAGAAGAAAAAAATAGTGAGAACTTGAGTGAATTGTATATAATAACTCATAACCATAGTCAGCTAAATGATCATATAAATAGAGATAGATAAGATATAGTGAGTCAAATGATGATAGTAATAGAGATACATAATAATCCACAGTGAGACAAATGAAGAGAGTAATAGAGATACATAATAATCCACAGTGAGCTATACGATAATAAGATAGCAACTAATTTATTTATTCAAGAATAACTAGTTATAATCTTCAATTGAAAATGAATTGACTATACTGTTGAAGAGCAATACTCTATAGAATAACTATTTCATATGGCCCATAAAACATAAAATAAAGAAGTATGCGTTCATGTATGGCAATTTTCAAGCATTATCGTTAGAAGGCATTATTTTCATTAGTTATTTCTACTCTAAATAATTCTATTAACACATCATATTTTATGTAGTCTAAAATATTTATTTCATACAGAATTATAATTATGAAAATTACGTATTTATACTAAATATTTTTATTCTTTATTTAGATTTCATGACAACGAAAAAGCGAAGAAATCCAGAAGAGTGTTCCTCTTCCAAACTGAAAGTTCGTCGAGTGGGTCGTAATAGTCTCACAACTACGACGAGGCTGAGGTAGAAAAATTATTCATCTCACAACCACCCTCATTTAAGTCACCGAAGTCGCTGGATACGACAGAGGTAAGTTTCAACACACAAATAGCAACATTTCATTGAATCTTACAACTATTTGTTATTATTTCTGACTTTCTTACATAAAGTAATGTGTCCGCTTTCTTTACGTTTCTCGGTTTGATTTGTGATTACAATGTTGCTTCTGTTTTATGCAATAACGATACAATTTTAAAAGATTTTCATTTTTATTATTAAAAGTAACAAATAAATTTTTTTTAATTTTTTGCATATTTATATTAAGAATTCAAAAAACTATGTTTCTTAAAATTTTTCATTTTTCATACATAAGCCTAATATTTGGTAAAACTGTAATGCTAATGTAATTCATTTAATAAACGAAAGCCTGCAATGTGAACAAAGTGTTTAAATACTAATAGTTTTAAATTAATGTATTTATAAGTATCTGATATCCATATGTAGTTTACTTATTATGAAAAACCTAGCTAAATTAGTTTGTTTTTTTGAACGGCAATTATTTCGCTTCATAGGGGCAAGCGATATATTGAAATCTTAATACTTATTTTGTTATACATTTTTAAAAATTATTTATTTACTTAACTTTAACTTATAATGATAAACTTTGGACAGCATTTAACTATTTCAAAATATCAAACCAATTTTGAAAAACCATTGAATCTTGAGTCAAAATTTGAAAAAATTGAATTTTTTCGCAAAAATAATATAAGTTTGTTATATATTTTTCTAAATTTTAATGACAGCACTTCAGTTTTTAATTATAAGTGCTATTATATTTTTTAAATTTAAGTCATGGTACTTCAGTTACTAACTACAACTGCTACATTATTTTTCAAATTTCAGTCATGGCACTTCAGTTACTAATTATAACTACTGTTATATTTTCCAAATTTCAGTTGCTAATAATAACTGCTGTTAAATTTTTCAAGGTTAAGTCATAGCACTTCTATTACTAATTGTAAATGCTGTTATATTTTTCAAATTTATATCATGGCACTTCAGAAACTAACTATAACTGGCATGAGATTTCGGGAAATATCTTTCTTTGGGTGCGTCTATGAAGTATCGGAATTGCTCGGAACAACAATTTCCGCCGGATGACAATGTATCTTTTCTCTCCTTTTTAAGATAAATTGTGCGTAATTCTACTTTCGAATGCTATCGGTGTTCATACCCATATATGCCATACATATGTATGCTCTGAAATCGTGATCGTTTGGTGATGACCCAATATTTCAATGAATAAATGTGTTCTAGAATGTAATTTTAGCATTTCGGCATCGTACTAAAGAGGCAGGTGTTGGTACATAGACAGGCGCTCTCTCCCTCATCGTACCAGCTGCTCGTAGTTAGTGTCTTTAAAGACGTGCTCTGAAATTTTTCAATTTCCTGTCTGTTTCTACACCTGTCTTAACCTTCTAAATACTCCAAATTCCCTTAAAAACTTTTTTCCTTTATCACTTGTAGTTGATAAATAATTCCATCTTATCTGTAAAAACATTCAATGTTAATTAACTCTGAGTTAACAGTTGGCTAAATATTTTTGTCAAATATTTTATTATGTTTAATTTATTACGAGTTAATATTTCATAAATTAGTTAATTTAAGGTAAAAACAAATAACGTGAGATTAGGTTATCGATGTTTTCTATGATATTTAATAACCAATATTTTTACACCAGAAAAAGCGAGAGAGAAAATTAATCTTTTTTTTTCTTCGAATTTTTGATTTTTAACGTGTTCCGATGTATTTGAATATAGGAATTCAAATAATATACCAAATAAAACTACCGTATTAATGATGCATCAAAAAATAAACTTTTTATTTTAATGTATCATATAAAAAAAGTTTAGTAATCATAATATAATGATAATCATAAAAATGTTTAATGCATCATAATATAATGATGCATTAATCTTATAAGCAACTAAACTTATTAAGGATGCGTTAAAAAAATTAACGTGTTTTAGTTTAATGCATCACCTAAAAAAGTTTAATGATCATAATATAATGATAATCATAAAAAAGTTTAATGCATCATAATAAAATGATGCATTAAAAAAAAATATGTTAGTTACAGAAAAAAGTTAAGATGATACAATCTTGATTGCGGATTGAAGATGCCCTAAGCCAAAATCTTCTCTAACCTCCAAGAGCAATATCACCTTCAAAAGACATACCAAGAATTTTTAACCTTATACTCATTCAAACTACTGAAAAAAAAGTGACTAATAGAATACGTAGCATTCTTATAGTTTTTATGCGCATTCTTAGATTAAGATGAAAAAAATTATTCCATTCATGAAAAAGCGCGCGAAAACCTTTTATGAGGTGGGATGTATTATATCGATTTTTTTGCACTTCTATTCGATGTTTTGTTTAGGGATCACTGTTACAGAACTTTGTGAGGGTCTGAATCTGATTCAACAGTGACTTTTTTTCGTTAGAAAGTTTTTTGAGAGGGAGGTAGCGTTCAATTCGCTCGCGAATTCGAGACCTTCGACCCTTAAAAAAAAGTTTATTGGGGGCTGGATCAAAAATTGGCTTGATAGACGTTTCTCCATTATTGTGTACATATTTTACGTTAGTCATAGTTTTATTTAATGACTTCTGCTTTGTAAAGTGTAGCCGTAATTAAATACTTGTAAGTAAACTGTTTTCTGTAATTTAGAATCTTTAAAGCATTTACCCCTGAAACTAATGTCAATGTTTGCAGCTCTAGTTAAAGTTCGATATTTGTATTTCAATTTGATATGAATGTATTACAATTTTTGTTAATAAATGCATTAATTAACTAAGTTAGTTTAACTTCATGTTAAAATTTCAAGCATGTATGATAAGTAAATTATCCAAATCATCCAGACCAAGAACTAGATTTTTTACTCTATAGTTTTAATTCGTAATTTTTTTGATATTTTTTTGTTCTTTACTGAAAAAGTTTGTGAAGAACTTTTTTTTAGTTATGATGCCTAAACTCATATGAATAGTTATATACTATATCGTACATTTTGCTCATACAGAAATATACAACAGAAATCTTATGTAAAAATTTATAATTCATAAAACATTTATAAACCTGAATTTTGAATGTAAGAGTGAATGTTAAAACTGGCTCCAGAATTTTAAAATTTATTTAATAAGTTCAGACTATTTTATTCTGTTCTTATTTCGAACATAGCTAAAGATTTTTTTTAAGGTTTAAAACAGGCCAATGGGAATACCAATATTTTTGAAGAAAAAAAAGAGTGATGATTTGTTTAAAATAAGTATTGGTTTTTCCAAATTTTTTTTTTTTATTAAAGTTAAAACAAACATAATTTTGTATTTTTCTCAATTAAAATTTATGATATATTTGTTTAATCTAAGCTCAGTTTATCATCATCCTTTGTTTAATTTCATCGTAACTTAGAGATAAAATTTCTAAACAGTAAATACGTAAAATATAAGCTACAGAAATATCTGTGTACTTTCTTTTGCAACAAATATTCTTATTTAAGATTCTATTAATCTACTTATTTAAGATTCTATTAATCTACTAAGCAATTTAAATCAAGACGTAAAATTTTAACGTAAACATATTAATGCCACACAATTCTGCAGGGAAGCTTCTTAAAAAGCAAATTTGTTGTGATTTTTAAACCACCCCAGTCCCAGTGAATCCGAATCTTTTTTTTTCTTTTTTCTTCTTACTCTTCGACCTCTGACCGAGGCTCCCATTTGTCACCGTTCGTTCGTCCGTCCGTCTCCTTTGACAGAATTTTCGCTTGGCACATGCGCTCAGTTATAAAAACAGCTCTAATAATAAAAGAAGAAAAGTTATATAAAAAGCTACTCCCCCCTCTCACCCCCTTTTATTCTTGGATAAACGACGACTCCTCCTATCATGTTTGAGGCCTTCTTGGACAACTTTGGGGATAGAAGATGGCAGGATTTATCAACTTAAAAAAAGAAAAATAGTTCTATACGCAGACGATAAGATTTGTTGGGACAATTTCTTTCTTTTGTGCGTGTGTCTTTAGTGAATTAATAAGATTTATATTTTTAACATTAAAGTAAACGTCTGGCTAAAAAATCATAAGTGAAATCGTTAATGCATCCTTTATCAGCTATTGTGCTTTAATTATGAACCGAATTCAAGAGAATGTCGGCTTTCACCGGTGAATGTCAACAATCACATAGTCGCTTTGGTGAATGTCCGAAAAATTTGTTATACTCTCCGATTTTATATTAATTTATTCGTTGATATTATTATATTTATTCCATATTCTGTTGTGGATAGAATAGGAGAAACACCAATGTTCGGAGTACCGGTTAAATTTTAATTCTATCTTGCATAAAATATATTTTTCGTGAATATTCTTAAGAGTTTTAATTTTCATTCATTGCTAAAACCTTCCCTATGACTCAAATCTGTACTTCCATCTGTTTCAGAATTGAATTCGATCAGTTCAGATTTGAATTGATCACATCATAGTTACGATTCTTTAGGTTTAAAATAGACCGAAAGGAATACTAGTATACTTAAAAATTGATTGTTTTGTTTAAAATAAGTATTGTTTTCTCGATTTTCGTTAAGGGAAACGAAACGGAATATTTTTTTTTTTTTCAATTAAAATTCGTTGATGATCTATTTGTTTAATCTAAGCTCAGTTTATCATCATTTTTATTTAATTTCATCCCACCGTAGAACTTTTTAAAATGCATCAATAAAATTTTTAATTTAATTAATAATTCCTGTACGTACAAAAAAAAATATTTTAAATTTTACGAATGTAAAATAAAGCATTATTATTCAAATTAAATTTTTTAAAGTTTATAAAACGCATTTTTAATGTTTAAAAATATACATTAACTTGTAAGCATATAGGCACCTAGGTCCCAAATGCCTTTTCTATACATTATATTTTAATAGCTACTTGAAACGGGCCAGATAAAATTTCAAAAGTTTAATTTAATCTACAGATGGCAGCACTATCAATGTATTGAAGTGACCATTAGTACTAAACAAATTTTAAAAGAAGAACGCAATT